GCCTCCTGGAGTATTTCTACTGTGTTGTCTGTCTGTCTTTTCAACTGAGCTTACTACAGGTGTGAAGTGGGTTGCACCAGAGTGTCCGCGTGCACTTCCTGGCTGGCACCTTTACATGTCATTAGTAGCCATTATTCATCCTCACCCATTTTAATGGGGTTGTTTTCTGTTATTGGGTTGTAAGAGTTCCTCATAGACTCTAAGTGTTTATCTGACACGGCGTTCCAATATCTTCTCCCATTCTGTGGGCTCCAGTTCTTCATTATTTCTTTCATTTGATTTTTGTTATTACTATTATTATTATTATTATTTTTTGGAGTGCTGGGAATTGGACCCCGCCAGGGCCTCATGCATGCCAGGCCAGCACTCTACCACTGAGCCACATCCACGGTCCCTTTTAAAGCTGATTTTTAAAGTTCACTTTTCATATTTTAGAAATGCAGAAATACAGAGAGATGAAAAAATAACCACCCCAAGAACAGTCCAGCTAACATTTAATCATGTTCCCTCTTGTCTTTTCAGTACACTCAGTTATGTTTTTGTTTTTTGACAGGTAATATCTACACAGATACAAAATTATAGACGTCTAAAATAAGCCTTCTTCTCCCCTGAGCCCCGTCACTCACACTCCTCCTAGGCACAGCCACTGTTACCACCTCCCCGAGGTGGCTGACTAGATGGACATATGTGGCCCATTTCCCCATAAATACGTAACGGGGTATTATCCGTTCTCCTGAGCACCCACTCGTAGTAGCTCCTTTCTGGTGCTAGCTCTGCAGAGCTTTCTTTGCATAGTTAAACCACCCTGAAGGTACAGGATATCTGTCTATTGTAGGAGGTGGGACTGGATGGAGCCCATTCTCACCTTAGCAGAAACAAGGACTTATTAAAGGATACTAAGGGCTGGAGTTGTGGCTCAGCGGTAAGTGCTTGCCTAGCACGTGTGAGGTACTGGGTTCAATTTTCAGCACTTCATATAAATAAATAAAAATAAAGGTCTGTTGACAACCAAAAAATATTTTAATGAAAAAGGGTATTAGGTGGCTTGCTGAGTCTCCAGGAGGGCAGAGATCCAAGTCTTGGGCCTACCAAAGCAAAATCACGTGTCAGTAGCTCCTGTCGAGTGGCGCCTGCCAGGACTTGGCTCAGACAGCAGAGCAGGTTCTTTGGGCCTCAGGATGCTGCAACCTCTGAGCCTGCTGCCTCCAGACACCAGGTGTCTCTGCCAGGTACGTGCCCTTTGACACCTGCTCCTCTTGTAGCCAGCCAGCTTTTGAACATGAGGCTGGTGGAATGGCCACACGCTAGCTGCAAGGGAGTCTGGGAAAGCAGGTTTTGGCTCCCCCTTGACTCCTCCTAAGTGGGGAGCCCAAATACAGGAGGGCAGTTTCACTGGGCAGCCTAAGAGCGCGGCAGAAGCCCACTGTGTGGTGCTTCCGTGTAAGTGGTTTTCAGGTGTAAAATCGCAGTCATCTTGACATGAAAGCAGTGCATGCGTGCAAGGTGGGTGCTGTCATGGTTCAGTGTGGGCTCTCTCGGGGCTGAGGGACCCACTCGAGTCATACCTCTTTCCCTGACCATCCTTATGACCTCAGTCATGGTTTAAAGTTCTTTGTGCCTCCATTTCCTACGTGGTAAATGGAGACAGAAGTGGGATGGGATGGGCGGAGCAAAGCAATGAGGCGTGAGGTTTAGAACGGAACCTGGCCCATTGTCTTTATCCATCTCTCCATGCAGCTTAAGTTTTTTTTTTTGGGGGGGGGTATCGAGTATTGAACCCAGGGCATTTTACCACTGAGCCACATCCCCAGCCCTTCTTATTTTTAATTTTGAGACAGTGTCTTGCTAGGTTGCTGAGGCTGGCTTTGAACTTGCAATTCTTCTGCCTCAGCCTCCCGAGTCACTGGGATGATAGGCTTGTGCCACTGTTATTTTTAAAAAGCAGCTCTCAACTGTTAATTTAAATGACATGTAGGTAGAATTTGTATTCTTTCCTTAACACAGGACAGAGCGCCACAGGATGGAACCAGATTCTTCAGGTCGAGGGAAGCTGAAGGGGAGGCCAGGGTCTCCCTGTGACGGGAGGGCTGCTCTGAGATGCCACTTTCCGGAGGCTGACCTTATGGAGTCCCTTCAGGTGGATGTCTTAAAGCACTTGTTCAGGTTGATTGAGAGGAGGGGCAGAAGAGGAGGGCTCAGAGGGTGGAAGGAGGGCAGAACCCGGCCTGCCTCCACTGCCCTGGATAATTCTGCTCTGTCCCAAACTTGCAAGCCTCACTCAGCAGATGAACCCCTGGATCAGTTCCCTACTGCTCCACAGGAATCCAAAGCAGAAGGCAGTGGCTTAAAACAATAGTGCTTGCTGGCTGTCTTTCGTGGGCTCCAGGGGAGGAGAACTTGGGAGTGGCCAGGCACTGCCCACCAAGGGTCCCTCATGCAGCTGCAAGCTTGTGCTCACACCGTCTCACGGGCTTCCTCCCCGAGGCCTGGTGCCCATGCTGGGGGACTGGAGACAAGGGGCTGGAGCACCCGGGCCTCCTGGGCATCCCGTGTCCCTGTGTGGTCTCCCAGCGTAATGAATGTAGAGGAGCTGGCTGCGCTGCCAGCTTTGGGCTCTAGGACATGTGTCCCAAGCTAGGAAGAAGCTGTCATGCGTTGTTCCTTCTGCCACTGTCCATTGGGGGCAGTTAGAAAAAGTTACCAGAATCTTCAAGGGAAGGGAACCGGGACCCCACCCCTCAGAGGAGGGACGTTGGTGTCACATTGGGGAAGAACGTGTGGTTCGTGGTAGGTGTTGGGCAGGGGTGCTTGGAAATCCACAGCGGCTTTGGGTAGATCCCTCCTTCAAAGGCAGGTCAGCCCTGCCCATCGTCAACATGCTGCCTGGAGGCCCCCGCTTCCCGCCCTTGGCTGTCACAAGCTGTGCCAACACTCGGCATCCCGGTCATCTCAGAGGTCTGGTGAGCCTGCTTTTCTCCATCTTGTTCAGAACTGGGTTGAATAGCGACCCTAAGATTCAAGTCCACCTGGAGGCTCAGGATGCAACCATATCTGGAGAGAGACTCTTGGCAGCTACTGGATTCGGGTGGACACCCCCATCTGCTGTCCTTAGAAAGAGAAGGAAACCCGAGCACAGAGAGATGTGAAGAAGGAAAATGACACGAAGACAGAGACACAGAGAGGGCCAAGTGACAACAGAGGCAGACACTGAAGTGGTGCATCTACAAGCCAAGGTACCCCAAGGACAGGGAGCCCTTCACCACTGAGCTACATCCCAACCCACATCCCCAACAGAGGCTCCCTCAGAGTCTGGGGCAGGAACAGCCCTACTGACACCTGCCCCAGGTGTCTAGCCTGCAGGTCAGCAGGTGTGGCCCTTGCTACAGTGTCCCAGGGAACTCCATGACACCTTGACCCCTCACACAGTGGAGGGTTGATGGGGTTCAGCAGCGAAATCAGGCTGCAGAACCTCGGCAGATGTTCTCTGTGGACTCTGTGCTGTGTGGCTGGGGGGAAGGAGGTGACACACTGGAGGGTCCTGCAGGGCCCAAGAAGGAGCCAGGTCTGTGGACAGAGGACCCCGGGACCCCTGAGTCATAGGCGCCAATGTGTGTTGGCTTGCTTGGGTCTTTTATTACTTTCTGTTTTTCCAATTTGAGATTCAGGCTCAACCTTCCCAGGTGTCTCTGGGGCTGGCGTGGTTTTGTCAACACGGGCACTGTTTAGAATGGCAACAGCCGTGACTGTCAGGGCCAGGAGGAAACCTGCCTGTCCTGACCCGGCTGGTTCTCCAACACTCGGGGCCTGAGCAATCACTCACCCAGCAGAAGGTTGCAGCCGGGGTGAGGCCTAGCTGCTCCCAGGGCCAGGCTCTGCTGCTCCTCCCCAGGCTGACCCCCTAGGGAGGACCTGGCTGTTCCTGGCAGGCCCCGGGGATTGGGGGAGCCCGGGCTGTGCACCAGCTGCCCCAGCCTCCTGCCCCGCTGTGTCAGTGGCCGGAAGGTCAGCCCCTGGGCTCTGACTTCACAGGCCCCTCTTCCTCCTGCTCGGGCTGCCCAAATGTCCCCTCCTCCAGAGCCTCGGAGGCCATGTGTGAGTCCCTTCCCTGCCTCTCCTGGGATGTTCAGCTGCTGTCTGAAATGGCCAGGCCCATCTGAAATGGCCCTCTTTGGGGGCCCTTGCTTGGGTCTGTCTTCCTTGTAGAATGGAAGAGCCCCAGGGAGTGTTTGGTTTTTGAACTTTGTTTCCGTCGTTCCTTTGGTTTCCCGGCTTCTAGACCAGTGCCGTGCACACAGCAAGCGTCTGTCAGTGTTCCTCAGGTGACACTGGGAAAGAGCACCTTGGGCGCCCTCCTGCTTCAGGCCTGGCTCCCTCCCTTGCCCCCCCGGCCGCTCACAGGGGGCTTTCCCCAAAGCACAGCCCCGTCCTGGCCACTCCTCTGCTCCCTATTGCCCCCAATCCCTCAGTAGGACTCGCAGGCTCTGCGGGCGGGAGCTGACCAGTGTCACTTTGCCACAGACGCCGTGCTCCAGCACCCAGAGCCGCTCCCAGGGGCACGTCATTGTCACCGATCCTGCTTTCTGGACTCCCGCCCTCCTCCCCCTCCCCCACCTGTGGCTGACCCACTCGGCCCCTTCAGGGGTCTCCGTTGGAGGACGCCCACCTGCAGGAAGCCCTCCTGACTTTCTGTGGCCTGCGCCACCGTTCCTTCTCCTCCCCTGGGCCATCCCTTTCCACCTTTTAAAGAGTGCGGTTTCCATGCAGCAGGACTCACCCCTTGGGAGGACATTTCTGTGAGGTTTGGCAAATTATGAAGTTGGGTGATTCTACCAGAGTGACAACGAAAAAGCAAGCAAACTAAACAACCCGACAACTGCCCCCCAGCTCTCCCCCAGCTCCTCTGCAGCAGCCCTGCCCCTCAGCCCAGCCCCTGGCGTCCACCGCTCGGTCCTCTGTCTACACCGTGGTCCTTCCTGAAGGCCACGTAAGTAGAATCAGGCTCTCCCCGGCCTCTTGCTGCTGGTGTCTTCCCTTGGCATCGGGCTCGAGCCATGCCAGTCGTGACTTTCCCGGCCCAGGGCTGTGTCTTTGGTGCGTGTTTGTTGATCCACTCAGGAGCTGGCAGACGCTGGGTATCTCCGCTCCTCAGTGATTACGAATACAGCTACTGTAAACATTACCGTGCAGTTTTTGCATGGACATATGTTTCCATTTCCCTTGGGTAAACACAGGTGAGATGGCCGGGTCCTGTGGGAAGTGTGTGTCTAACTTTTTAAGAAACTGCCCTCTGTTTCCCCACGAGGCCGCCCCTGCTCACACCCCCAGTTGCTTGGCATCCCACCTGCACTGGGCACGGTCAGCGGTCATGTTGGCCGTTTCAGTGGGTATGGAGTCAGCTGCTTCCCGCTGGCCTCTTGCATGGGTCTGTGGCTCCTGACAGAATGAATCTTTCTTCCTCTTATCCCCAGACCCTAGAGGAGCGACAGACAGGTAGTAGGTGCTCAGTAAATGCTGTGGACTGACTGAACCAATCCATTGAATGAGTGATCAAGTGAAATGGTATTTAAGGGGAGTTTATCTCTGATTCCACGGTGGAGGCCTTTGATGACAGCTGTTACTTCCTCCGGAGCCCAGCAGTGCCCGGCTCCTCAGAGCTGCTCAGCAAGTGTTTGTTGACTGAGTGAACTGACTTTGTCCCATCATCCCACACGTGGAACACCTATAAAAACTAGTATATAATTATATGCTAATAATATAATTATATTTAATATAATATTATTTACTATGATATATAAGCTCTAGATTATGATTCCCAATCCATTTTAATGCACCTTTTAATGCAACATTTTTTGTTGAAATATTTGCAGAATTGGAAACTTGGGACTGAAGGGTCAAAGGTCCCAGCAGGACCCTGGGCTTAAGAAGCTCCGTGGAAGACCACGGCCCAGAGGCTCTTCCAGGCAGGCAGGCCTGGGCTCCAGCAGCCCAGGGGGCTGGAGGCAGGCCCAGCGTGACCCTACTGAGGTCTGCCGGGTTCTGGGTGGTGCTTCCTCTCACAGAGCCTGCCAGCCTGCCCGGCCGCTGGGACTCGCCTCGTCCCCAGGGGAGGGGCACGACTCTGAACAATGCCGGGAAAGGAAACCAGGCTCAGGGGCTCTTGGGGGTTTCTGAGGCCAAAGGGGTAAAATTGGTGCGGTTCCCTGGGCCGGGATGGTGACCTCAGCCTGGCCACTGCCTTCCGTGGTGGAGACCGGAGTCCAGGATGGGAAGATTCCCCAGTAAAATAATGACCATGACAACCAGAGCCGCTGTTGCTCGTTGTCATCCTTACTCTGGGTCACTCATTATTTTCAAGTCTTTAACTTATAAGGGAAGGGTTTGAAAAACTTTATTGAGATAGTTCACAGCTGGGTGTGGTGCTGCACACCTAGCATCCCAGTGACTTGGGAGGCTGAGGCGGGAGGATCACAAGTTTGAGGTCAGCCTCAGCAACTTAGTGAGGCTCTAAGCAACTTAGTGAACACGTGTCTCAAAAATTAAAAAGGGCTGGGGATGTGTCTCAGTGGTAAAGCGACTGGGTTTGGGCCCCAGTCCCCTCACTCTCATTAATAATGACAGTATAGTTCACATACCACACAGTTAACCCATTCCAAGTGTACATTCCAATGGCTTTCGGTTACAGAGCTGTTTAACCATCACTGTGGTCAATTCTAGAACATTTTCACTATGCCAAAGAGAGATCCTGTACACCTTCTCCATCACCCCTCAATACCCTCCATACCCACCTACTCCTTGGCAACCACTAATCTATTTTATGTCTCTATGGATTTGTTAATTCTGCATATTCCAAAGGTAGGTGTTACTATGGGGAAATTGGGAGTTTCAGACAGGGTCACTGAGCGGGGAGCAGGTCAAATTCATACAGCTAAGGGAGGGGCAGACCTTGGACTTGAGCTTAGATTCCCTGCAGAGTGCTCCCCCCATTATCCAGCGCTGTTTGTGGTGGGCCTTTAACCCCCATCATCTCACTCAGTCCTTATGCTCACCCTTGGATGTGGGTTG